TGATTTTAATACATGATATCCTTCATCACTTAATACTTGAAATGGTCCAGTATAAGCTAGCTGACTTTCTCCACTTGGCGATACTGGTTTATCCAGTTGTGGCGCTTTTCGAACACGTTCAAAGCCATTAAGTAATACAACAAAATCAGGTTCAGTTAAACATAAATGAATATCAGGATCAAAAATAGGTTCATCACCGTATAATTCATATTCACAATCGACAAGAAGTGGAGGTATTGAAGTAGTATTTTGATTTTTGAGAGTCATTTTTTTTTCTTTTAGAATATATGCAGTTAGATATATTTCGACTTTTGACTTATATACAAGATAAAAACGATATAGATAACATAAAACATAATGAAATATTCTTCAACAGCAAGAAAAACTTATTATTATTGAAAAGTTGTACGACATTACAGCGACTAATGAATTTTGTCTGATAAGATTTAATATAAGAATTTCTTATACGCTATTTACAGAGATAAATGTATGTTAAGAAATAAATATTAATAAAGGTCACACAAATACCTTGAACTAGATCTACATTCTATATTATACAATCATAAATCAATATACGCAATATTCTTGTTTTTTTCTTATATCTTTAAAAATCGAGTTAACAAAGAAGATAGGAAACTGAAACCATAGGAATTTTTATCATAATTTTTTTCTTGAAATAAAAGGTACAAGAGATACTTTTTTATTTGTTGTATTTCATATAAAAGATAAGAATAAGATAAGTTTTTTTTTATATCAAAAACTAATTTATAAACCACGTGAGCAGTGATTATTTTAAATTACGAATAGAATATTCAATAAAATATATTTAAATCTATCCTGATTTTAATTTAAATAAATAATAACTTTTTTTTTATTTAAAAATTCGATTTTATAGAAAAACAAACAAGATCCAAAGATATGAATAAGACTTAGAAATAAAAAAGAAGTGATTTTTATGTTTAGATTTGTGATACCGAGAATTATTTCGATATTAAGTCATTTTTTAATATTTACAAATTAATAGATAAGATTGACATGAATCAAAATTAGTACGAAAAGAAATCTCTTCAAAATTGAATAAAATGATTATTGATACGTAAAAATGAAATAATATAAAATAGTACTTGCTATTATTCTTCCCTAGAATTTCCAGCTATCCTTCAAAAACAAATTATAATTAGATTTCTTAATACGTTTTTTTAATAAAATTCTTTTCACTTTCAATTTTATTTTCGAAAGCGTTAATTCATATATTAAATATAAAATAAATATTTTTATTTTAGAGAAATTTTAACAAAAGAACATAAATAAAATATACAGATTACTTCATAATTCATTATTAGATTTGTATTTTATATCATTTTACTATTAGTCCCACTTTAAATAAAACTTTTACTTTTTTCTCTTACTCAGTCAGACAAAATTGGTAGAAATATAAGAGTTAGAAGTTTTTGTTTGTAAAGATAAACTTTATTAAAACTCTGTAGCAAACGCTAGACCTTTTATGATGCACTCAATATATTCTTTATTTTATTTTCTCTACATTTCATATATGTAAAAATCGTTAATATGACTATAAGATAAACTTGATTCTAAATGATGATATTCGTTCTATTCCAATAATCATAACTATTGTAATATAATAGATTAACATTCAGATGTACTTGTTCGATCTAATTATGAATCAGAATATGAAACGATAGAATTGACAAATTCTTTCTATTAAGATAATTGTTTTAAAAACTAAAAAGACGCATATGAATATATTTTTAAAGATTTCATTCTTTGTCTTTGAGGGTGGGTGCGGGTGTGAGTGTATCATGTTTATGGTATCCACATCCACACTCATCCTGCCATCGGGTCTCTCCCATTAATACATGAGGTTTGCGCTCGCTATAGTTTCACGAAATTAGTACTTGGCCGCGCACTCGTCGAATGACTTACTACAGTTTTTTTTGTTTTTGAACATATTTATTTGATAGTTCTAACTAATCGAATACATAAAATAAAGTGAGACATAAAAAAAAGTTTATAAGAAATATTAGTAATAGCAAATGCATAATATAGAAAAATAATGAACAATAGAAATGTTTAAAGTTAGAGAGATAAATTAACAAGTCTGTAATAAAATCTTTAAATTGTCATCACCATAGTTACCGACTGCAAAATCTAGTTTTGTATCATTGTTGAAATCACCAACAACAACAGAAAATGGAAAAGATCCATAACTAACCAAATATACTTTTGAATCTGTAAATCTACCACCACCAGATCCAAACAATATAACTACATTACTAGCAAGGTAATTAGCGACAATGATATCTAGTAAGGCGTCATTATTAAAATCACCAATGGCAACTGAGTAAGGTTCAGCATTAATTCCAGTTGAATATATTGTTTGATTTGCAAAAGATCCATTACCAAAACTGAGAAACACACTGATATTACTATCATTAATATTACTCACAATAATATCTAATCGATTATCATTGTTTAAATCAGCAACAGCTAAAGACCATGGACCAGAGCCAGTTGCAAACGTTGTTTGATTTAAAAAAGAATTATTGCCCAATCCAAGAAAAATACCAATATGATTGGTGCCTGAATTTGCGACGGCAATATCCATATAAGTGTCATTATTAAAATCGCCAGCGAACAATGATCGTGGAACAGACCTGTCACCAGTTAACAGTGTCGTTTGATATTGAAAAACCATATTTAAGTAACCAAGAAAAACACTTACAGTGTTGCCGTGCGAATTAGCAACGACGATATCCGGTCGAGCGTCATTGTTGAAATCACCAACAGCTACAGAATATGGATAAGAGTCAGTTGAATATGTAGTTTGATTTGCAAAAGAACCATTGCCATATCCGAGAAGTACACTGACAGTGTTGTCCAGTAAATTAGCAGCAATGATATCCAGTCGAGTGTCATTGTTGAAGTCACCAACAGCTACAGAATATGGATAAGTGCCAGTTGAATACGTGGTCTGATTTGCAAAAGCACCATTGCCATATCCGAGAAGTACACTTACAGTATTGTCACCTCCATTAGCAACGACGATATCCAGTCGGGTGTCGTTGTTGAAATCACCAACAGCTACAGATCGTGGCCAAGTGCCGGTTGAATAGATAGTTTGATTTGCAAAAGAACCATTACCATATCCGAGAAGTACACTGACAGTCCTGTCATCCCAATTAACAACAACGATATCGAGTCGAGTGTCATTGTTGAAATCACCAACAGCTACAGATTCTGGAAAAGGGCCAGTTGAATAGGTAGTTTGATTTGTAAAAGAACCATTGCCATATCCGAGAAGTACACTGACAGTGTTGTCAACATAATTAGTAACGACGATATCCAGTCGAGTGTCATTGTTGAAATCACCAACAGCTACAGAAGATGGATCAGAACCAGTTGGATACGTAATTTGATTCGTAAAAGCCCCAGTATCAAATGCAACAAATATATCTATATTATCAGTGTTGTCATATGCGACAATAATTTCTGATTGTCCATCATGGTTGAAGTCACCAGCAGTAACAACTAAAGGAGCGAAAACCACGCTAGATCCATCAGTTAATTGACGTGTAAATGTTCCCTTTCCATTTCCGACAAGCATATCAATGTTTTTACTACCATAATTAACTACAGCAAAATCGTGTTCACCATCGTTATTGAAATCACCTATGGCAAGTGAATACGGATTTATGCCTGTTGGAAACGTTTTCTGCTCTAAAAATGATCCATTACCGTTTCCAAGAAGTACACCTATATCATTAGTGCCATAATTAACGACGACAAGATCCAACATCATATCATTGTTACAATCATCGACAGCAACATATCGTAGACGAGAACCACCACCAGATGCAAATGTTATTTCGTTTCCTAAACCTGCTCTGTTATAATGAAGCAATACGCTTACAGTGTTGTCATCTCGATTAGCAACAACGATATCTAGTCGTGTGTCATTGTTGAAGTCACCAACAGCTACAGAATATGGATAAATGCCACTTGGATACGTAGTTTGATTTGCAAAAGAACCATTACCATATCCGAAAAGTACACTGACAGTGTTGCCGTGCGAATTAGCAACGACGATATCCAGTCGAGTGTCATTGTTGAAATCACCAACAGCTACAGAATATGGATAAATGCCAGTTGAGTAGGTAGTTTGATTTGCAAAAGAACCATTGCCATATCCGAGAAGTAC